CCCCCGGGCCTTGAGTTTGACACCAGTGGTCTATAACGAACATCGTATTCAAGTGTAAGGGTGTCCATATGTGCAATCGTCAACGGTAAACCGTAGACCGCAGTTCAATGATCGACTTTGTGGTCGTGCCATCGGACTTGGGGCAGCATCTCTTGAACGCTCGGTTGAAGAGAGAGGCGGAACTGATTACCACCTAATCCTTAAAAATATCTCTTTATGTGGCCTAATATCAAATGACACCGAAACCGGTGGTTGAAGACCCATGCCCTGTAGGACATTCTCATTAAAATGTAATTGTAATGAGAACTTATGACAAACACCATTTCAAAGTAGGGAAAGCTTTGCCTGGAGCAGATTTAGGATGCTCCGCTACGTGTGGCACATTCTGTGTTCCTGGAGCAGACCTGGAGAATAAAAATTGAATTGACAAAATAAATGTTTTCATCTGGTTACCGCATTTGGAAATCGATTGTTAACATCCTCACATCTTGGCATGATGTGAAAACACTGGTGTTTATATAAGATTGATCTTAACAATACAAGGTACAATGCAGTGAGCCTGGGCTTTGCCCTGTGGGCTGTTCTGGCTCTGGGACTGAGCTGGGATGGACTGGGCTCAATGGCCTTCTCCCTGGCCCTCAACTACAAACAGATGGAGCTCTACCACGCTCTGCCCTTCTTCTGCTACCTCCTGGGAAAGTGTGTCAAAATGGGCCTGATGGGGCGAGGGTGAGTGTACCAAGTGTTCTGACAGATGAGTATGTAACTTTGCTTTGCGTTGTCCTTGATGCACGTCATCACCCAACCAACAAAGACCTCAGTTTAGTCAATTCTAATTTTGCCATCATATTGTTTCGACCTTCTGTCACTTGGAAAGAAGGCACAGTTCACTGGAGCGTCACAGAATGACTGAGGTAATCAGCTAGGATGCAGTTACTTGTGTCTATTTATCTAGTAACAATGTTCCAAGGACATTTAAAGCAAATGGAGAGCTGGATTAGAAGGGTTGGTGGGAAGATATGTCCAGATGACACTCTAGCTATGTCCAAACTCTTCAGCTATGCCCGTGTGTGCAGCAGCTTTCCACAGCTACAGCTGACAAGATCACTGCAGAGTCTGACCTATACTGGAGACTCTCAGCTGATGCAGGGCTTTCACTGCATTCCAAAATACGCCTTAACTGGGGACATGCCAAATAAACATTTTGATTTTGAGATATCATTGCTCATGGACATTCATATTTCATTGCTCGACAAAGCCTGTCTTTTGATGCATTTAAAGTGTTTTTTTTTTTTTTTGTGATCCTTTTAATGTAGGTTGTTGATGTTAGTGAAAGTCGCAGCTGCAGTGTTGGTGACTTTTGCCCTCTGCTGGTTGCCCTTCCTGTCTGACCCCGCTCAGACCTTGCAGGTGCTCAGGAGAATCTTTCCAGTGGCTCGAGGCCTGTTTGAGGTACATGGGTTGAATAAAAAGCGAGAAGAAAAATGTGAGCTTCATTTAGAGAAAACATTTCTACACTTGTCAAGGAATTGCGGCTTGCACCTCAAAATATGTTCTTCCAAGAAATAATTGGGAGATGATAAATGAGCGAAAAAAAATTGGTTCCGTGATTAGTCATGATCGGACATTTTCCTGGGAATGACATTTCATTCCCAAGTAATTTAAGTCCTTATTTCATGGATTTGGTGACAAACACGCAGCAAGATGTGTCCTTTTCATTAAGGTCAAGCAAAACCTCCTCGTGCCTTTCAAGCGGTTCCATCCTCAAAGCATGGCAAACATTGTTAAGTCCTTCAGTGCCAATCAGAAAGAGATAAGAGGAATCAAATCTTGGAAAGGTCAGATCTGTTACACTGTCTCTGGGAAACTTAAGGGAATGCAAAGTGAAGGAAAACGATTGATTCAGACTCTGCAGTCTTATTGTTTATTGCACGGCAACATTGCAGCACTACTCACTGCTGGGCTGGTTCTCCAGCTCAGATTCTGTATTAATTACCATTGTTCGACACAGTCCATTTGTATTTGCCGGTCTTGAAAGCGGAAACGTCGCGGCTTCTTTAAAAAGGTCGAAATGAATGGGAACTGACCAAAAAGGGTTATCTATTATCTCTGTGACTGGATTTGTTCTATACAGCCACGAGGTGCCATTCGGCTGGGGCAAATTGTCTTGAACTAATTGTGAAATTGTGAGCACAAGCATACACTTCGAGTAAAGAAACAGGGTGAGTAGAGGAAGGGGTATCAGGGGAGGGGAGGGGCGGTGACTGGTGGTGCGACTACTGGGTTGGAGCAGTTGTAAGTTTACCCACTGAACTACATTCTTTCATCTCAGGTTGCCCTCTGCTCACAAAAATGGCACCAAATGCTTCTCCCTGTCTAACATAGCTTATAGGTGACAGAGCCGTACCACTCTCGCCCCATTTGAAATTGTCCCCGGCCCACAACAGCCGCCCCTCCGTTCATGTGTTGCCTTTAGGTGGCATTCAAGAACATTTCCCATGGTAGTTATTTGGAGTGGGACGACGAGGAAAATCGAGAGGGCTGCAGTTGAGCCAGTATAACATTGGAAAGCCCAAATGCTGACAGGGCTAACACGAGGGTCCGCACAGCTGTGCCGCGAGCAGCTGTAGCATGGAAGAGAGACAGAAATAGGCCAGAAAGAGGATTTCTCGTCGTGTGGCCCGAGACCAAAGAAGTGAAGAAGCTGATCTTGTCATGTGGTCTCTGTGTTGTCGTCTGACATTATAGTGCACAGAGGCAGCTAAGTTAGTTTAATAATATCTGTTCTCAAAGCACTGTAAGTCTGACCTGAACCAGACACAACTATCTCCCCCGTGACCCAAAAGTCACTATTTGTGCAACTTGAAAGGGAGCTTGTCAGGTTATTCACAAAACGAAAAAAAACATACGAATGAGGTAAAAATAATTGTCAAAGATTTTTTTGATCAAGTATCAAGTACAACTTTATTGTCAAATGTGATGAAATTTCCTCCCTCTTAAACAGACAACAGACAACAAGAATTGATTAATTCAAGAGAAAAGGAATTTACAGATTCATTTTCTTACTTTTGCGGTCCTCTGTATACAGTTTGTATATATTTCCAGTACGGGTGTTTTGTAAATATCACCAGTAAGACACAAATTTTATTCCCGTGTAAAATATTGCTCCTTTCCTTTATGAATTTGGACCTTTTGTCATAAAATGATGAAAAATGAAGCGTGTCATACACCAATGAAAGCATAGACAGTCTAATTTTTCACACCCCAGCTTTCATAAATCTGATGATTCAAATATTTATTCCTGCACAAGATGACCACTTTGAGCACAGTCAGTCTTCAGTTAGATTGTGTCCTGCGATTGGTCTTGATGTGGCGGTTAGCAGAAACTACTTATAGTTTGACCATTGACCTGGTATCTCCAAGTTTACAAATAAGTCCCGCGCTGACAGGGGGGCTACTTGTAACACCTTAGAGCTGTCCGGTGGAACTGTCCCTCAGGAATGCATCAACCAAATCTATTGCACTTGCAGAGGGAAATTACTCCATTTATTTGCTCTGCCTATAAAATGGAATCCAGAGTTATGTTCGGCATGTGTCAAAACAGTCTAGCACTATAAAAAGCATACAATAATAAATAGTTATGGCGTGCTCGAATGCACTTGTCAAGTGTTTAGTGTCTGTTGTGTATGACGACGATGAGTTTGAATGTCATCACTTCGCATTTAACCAAGTGTGCATGTGGACAGGATAAGGTGGCCAACACATGGTGCAGCTTGAACATCCTGATAAAGATCAGATCCATTCTGTCCACTGACTTCCAACTCTACCTCAGGTAATATCATCTGATTAAAAAGCCTCATATTTGCTGCCTTTTGTTGTTTCTCTTCTGTAATTTTTTCTAGGTTGTTTGGATGTGTGTGTGTTTTGTTTGGCTCTCCTCCATCCTGTTTCATGTTGTGGTATCTTTCATTTTGAACCAATGAGAAAAAAAGCCTGCCCAAGGGTGTGAATACTGTGTTCTAGTGAAGTAGATACATCTTGTGAGGACCTTCTAAACATGAAGTCAGCTGTTTTTAGAAATGTGATGACAACAAGAGCTTTGGTTGCTCTTGGTGCTGTTGAGGCCGGTGTTGTTTGTATAGAGCAAAAAAAAGGCGACAGAACCTTTTTTTTTTTTCTCTAAATAAAGCAGATCTCAGAAGCATTTTGAATTTCTATTTTGAACTAAAGCTGAGATCCTGTAAATCACTGGGAGGAAGCAGTTGATATAACAGTTGTGCTGCGGACGACTGTGCTTAAATAACCTATCACTCTAAATATAGGAGTCCTATGTTCGCTGCATGAGCATGTTTTTGCCAGGCTGCTAAGTCCCGGGATCAAGTTGGACCTCTTTGACTGTGGCGAATTTCAAACAAATGAAAAACACTTGTCCTTTGGCACTGGTTGTTTGCTAAATGCTTCTGCGTTGGTGTGCCGTGTACATAGACCGAATATGCTGTGAAACAGTATCTGTGTCCTTCTGGACTGTAAAATGCCACCTTTCCACATAAGACATGCATACTTTTACACAGTGAATGACTTGAGTTCCACCATGTCTGCTTTGCAGCGTTGTTGTTTTACACAGCTCTCCATCTGGCACACAATTCGTTGTTGCAAATACAATGCTGCTCTGACGCCTTAAACCTGCTGACTGACCTCTCAACACATACTAACACCTAATCCCTCTCCTCTGCTGCTTCCCCCCTCAGAAGGTGACAATTGAAGGGTTAAACTAATGGTCCCCTGAGAGGGGTGGCAGTGTTTAGTTGTTCTACATAGCAAGAACCTCCAAGATAGGAAAACGAGAGGATCCACTTGTGTGATGACAGTTCTTTGAATGTTTGGGTTTGACACGTTCAAATCTGGGTAAAGGGCTTCTTGTGTGGAATTAGCATGTTCTCTAAGTGCGTGTATGGGTTTTCTCTCGAGGCACTCAGGCTTTCTCCCACATTCCAAAAATCGATGTTTGGTTAATGAAAGACTTAATTGCCCGTAGGTGTGAATGTGAGCGTGTATGGTTGTTTGTATCTGCATTACACTGTATGTCCTATGATCGACTGACGACCAGTCAAGAACACAACCTACCTTTCACCCAAAGTCAGCTGGAATTGGCTTCCGCTCACCCACGATTGCTAATATGGACAAGCAGTATGGAAATTGACTATTTCTCTAATTGCCCTGTTGACATGAAGGCATGTCAATAAACAAAACGTTCCACTTAATGTCAAACGGAGTTCTGTCTCCGTCTGATTGTGTTTGCACATACGGTCACAAAGTTTTGTCCTAATTCTATACACACTTGAATGTTCGTCAAATTGTGGCCAATTTGATGCGAATGGGATGTTAGGGAAGTTAACTGAAAACGTGCAGCCAATTTGAATTTAATGTGAAAATTCTCATTTAATATTTTCAGGTGCTTAAATATCTGTGTGTGTGTGTGTGTGTGTGTGTGTGTGTGTGTGTGTGTGTGTGTGTGTGTGTGTGTGTGTGTGTGTGTGTGTGTGTGTGTGTGTGTGTGTGTGCGCTTTATTCCAGTTTGGCCTGCACTGTCCTGGCAGTCCTTCCATCCTGTATCAGAGTGTTGACAAAACCGACATTCTGGCAGTTTAAACTGACCTTGGTGAGTGATGAAGGCCCAAGTTTGTACAGCCTACCGCATATGACTCTTCCATTTTTATTATTATTATCATTTTTGCCTGTTCTATTATTTACTGAGTATAGTGTAAAGGGTATCGTAAGATTTTCTTGGAAATATATACATCTGTTTTTGATCATCTCATTACTACCCGTCTAAGTGTTGTTGAGATTCATTGAGGTAGTATAATCGCACAAGATCTGTTTCCCTTTTAGGTCAACTCATCTCTGGGCTTCTTCCTCTTCTCCTATCAAGTACATGAGAAGTCCATTCTCTTGGCATCCTTGTAAGTACAGCTTTTTTTATACAGTTTGTATATATGGCATCATTTGCCAAGAGCTGCAAGGTTGTGTTACATTCACGTTTGCTCAATAACCCAACGTTGCTCAATTTAACATTGTTACAAACACATATCAATCCAATTCATCACCATCAAAGATGCATCTCTTGTAAACGTGTGCATTTCATGACCACAATATTAAGGTAGAGGGTGAGGCCACGGGTACGTTTGAGAACGGGGGCTTTGGTTTCTAGATCTAGGATCATGTATTAATCTAGATTGTTGCTTTATTAATTCTTGAGTTATATCTACCACCTGTCCCCATAAATCAATCAGTAATGCATGTCCAGGGATTAGGAAAGAATGGAAGGCAGCAACTCGGACGTTGTTTGCGCAGGATCAATTATTGGGCTGTAACAGGATCGGCAAAGAGCACTGACTGTAATTATGGGATCAGGGACTGGTGGAAAGTGCCCCCTTCTGTGCATACAAGGTGTACAAGTCACTTGTCAGCACTGATCAAGAAGGCAGACATTAAGTTAACATTGTAAAGTCGTGTCAAAATACTGCCCGTCCTGATGTAATGAAACACTTGGAAAAAAATGGTTCTGTTACAGTAAAAGACCCACCGGTACTTACTTTGTCTGGTAAATCGGGTCAAATGGTAACTGCTGGGTGAGGAGTGACCAGTTCAAGTTGGTCTTGTATTATTATCTTAACATGAGAAAGACGTGCTGCAAGCATACATTTAGTGCTGACCCAACACAGCCTCAAATCCTCTCTCCTGCATGGTGCGTTGACAACCCACTTATATCTTTTCTAGGCCCGTCTGTCTCTTCCTGAATGACTTTCCACTGGTGTGTGTTTGGTTTCTGCAAGCTTCTACATTCAGGTAAATCAAACTGTGGCTTTCTCAACCTATTTCACGAATGGAAGCTTGTCTTTCCTCTGTATTATTGGTGATGACAGTTGCCCTGGTCAGAATATTGTTGGGCTTTTTTTTTTTTCCCTCAATTAAGAATTTGAATCTTTCAGAAATGCTATGTTATGGTTACAATGATTAACCAACAATGAATCTATTCTAGATAGAATATTGAAGGCTATGACAAAGCTTTTTAAATGCATATTCACAAAATACATCCTCTGCATTTAGGCCATTACAGTATTAAGACTGCAAACATGAGTGACACGCTGGATCACAAGGTGACTTATGTAGCGCCTGGGGAGTAGTTCAGGCTGTCAGTTCCTTGCTCTAGGACGAGAGTTGGGGGTGGTGTTGTGTATATGTTTCTCATTGCGTCTTTCTCAGCTCGGTCTTTCCCCCTGCAAAGTTATTCGGCAGGTGCTGTTCTTAACCACTTAACCAAGCAGAACTCTAAACCTGGAGTCAAGGTCAAATGTAAATGTTTCTTTGAAGAACACACCGTATAAATAATAAACTGATGTCATTCATTGCAAAAGTTGCCAAAGTTGTGTAATGACCTGGGACAAAGTCATCAGTCCATAGAAAGCTGTCAATTCATTTTCACATAAGGTTTAATTGTTATTCTTACATGCTTTTACCGTCTATAATCTGATCACTATCAAATGGCAAATGTCATGGTAATCGTCTTGAAAATGTCAGTGAGATGCTAGGGGTTGAGGTGAGGACTGCTTTTGGCAAGACAAGTCGTGTTTCAGGTGCTTCCTCAACTTTCACCAGCTGTTGTTAAATTCTTCCGGCAGCTCTAATTGTTGTGTGTGGGGTTTCGGATAAGGATACATGGGGATTACCCTACATAGTCAGAATGCCTGCTCTCTAAGTGCGCATTGTATAGGGACAGAAGGTCATTCTCCAGTTTCTCCGTACAGTCTGACATGGACATAATGGGCATCCTCTCCCGGCTGTATTATCTTAAAAAATACATCTTTTGTTTGCGCAATTGGCTGAATGAATGCTCGAGTTGAACAGGGAGAGAGGCCAGAATGTAACCAGTCTGTTCAAATTGATTATGTGTTTCTAAAATGTTTAGCTGTTGAATGGGGCGTTTCTCTGTTTGCACAGAGAAAACGAATGAGTGGCTGAGAATTGAGGATTTTGATAGTTGGGGTGTTGTGCGATTGAGTATCAGTCAATTGTTGTTCTTGTCCACGGCCATCCGCGTAACAAAGTTAAGCTTCGTATAAGGTCGTTATTTCTCTCAGGGACAAAATGCTGGTGCAGGACCGCTGAGATAAAGGTTTGACTATGTCGTGTTGCTCCGACACTCTGCCAAACAGATTTGTGATTCTGAACCTAATGACCATTCTGCTTGGCGTATGTCATTCATATTAATAAGTCTTGGGCATCAAACTTCAGGTTGAAATGAGTCACACATGAAGATGTCCTTGAAAACCCACTTTGTTTTTTTTTTTTTGGTTTTTTTCGCCCCATGTCTGCCTGCACAGCATGCTGCCTCTGCTTCTGAAGGACGGTCTTCTGGTGCCATATGTTGTGACTTCGCTAGGCTTCCTCTTCTTCAGCACCTACTTACTGTCCGCCCTGAAACACGGTTCAGAGGAAGAGCTTGCACTGGGAGCCTACCACAAGCTCTTTTTCTTCCTACCCAGAATGGACCTGGCTTGGATTGTGAGGTGGAAGGTGAGTGTCACCTGCTGTTGCAATAACAGGAGAAGAATCCAGACACCATGTTAGAATCTATGGAGATAGAGGGCAGGATCTAATTTGTTTGGAGGAAAATATATTATCCCCTTTGGGTATGGGGAGACATTTTGTGACATTTAGCTTCAACAAGCTAGTGGGAGTATGCCCACCAAGCGGTACTGTTCACTTCCTTGTGCTACGGTTTAGAATAATAAATCTAAACCACGGTGACGGGTAGTGTGATGTAAATGCAGTGACACCAACTCATCATGATAGTGTCACCCACTAATGAGAAGTTTACACTTTTGGTGGTTACATTTGAGAGAAATCAACTTGTCATTTAATTTGTGGAAAATGGCAAAAACAAAGTGTTTTGTAGATTGGGCATGACACACGTCCTTCTAAAAATGGTGGAACAGTGAGGCCAAATGATTTTTGGTGTAGACTGAAAATATTTACTGCAGCTGGGGCATGAATAGGAGACAAGATCAAGGTTTTAGTTTTTATCTCTGAATGGATCTGATACACACAGCGTTATTTGTAACAAAACACCAAATCTGTCATACTTCATCACTTTGTTAATAGCTATTCTTTTTCTCATCTAGGACTTTACAATATCAATAATTAATGATCGACACATGTTCATTTTCAATAAAAATTGCGCTCAGTATAATTTCGATTAAACAAAAAAACAAGATTAGGAAGCATTGTTTTTCAACTGTCTTATGTTTAGACTTTTCTGTACTTCTACTCTAACCTTATTCCAAAGTGTTAGCCCATAGATGCTGTTGCAAAAAGACTCTTTCATTATACGTGTGCAGCAGACCTTGAAATTTAGTAGTCTCCTCAACTTTTAATCAACACTGCCTGTATATTTGCGGGTAATAGATTATTTCTAGCATTGTGGATTGTTTAGACCAGGGGGCCCAACTTTTTCTTACAAAGATCTACTTTTCAAGCATCCACCCTCCCACGATCGACCCGTTACCTCACATGCACGCCATCAGTGAATTGCAGATCAAGCATACTTTGATTGAGGGTAACCCAAATATAAATAGATAAATCGCTAACAACTTCCTGTCATGCAGGTCATGTGCCACTGCAGGTTGAAGGTGACCTACTTTTTAATTTGATTTATTTTTAAGACTGTTTTTGTGAAAGTGAAACTGGTAGGATGCTTTGGGCAGAGTGTACACTATCACACACACACACACACACAAAAAAAAAAAAAAATATATATATATATATATATATATATATATATAGAGAGAGAGAGAGAGAGAGAGAGAGAGAGCAAGCACACGGACACACAAATAAATGTATTTATTCATCATTTTCCCTCTACATCCCTCGTGGCCCACTTGGGACCAGTCTGCGGAAGTTGCTGCAAGTTATCCCCAGAAACTAAGATGCTTGTGTCATCTGCAATGCGGATCTATTTCAAAGATTTGGAGACAAATACATGTAGGTCCTAGACTAAACGATAATGCTTATCGAGCTGGTGCCTTAATGGTATTCTTATTGATAATTTTTTGTTTGGAAAAACACCAAAACAAGAATATTTGAACTAACACAGTTGTTTTTTTTTTTTTTTAATAAATGTACTTGTCTTGCAACTGCAATGACAATCATCTGCAATGCGGATCTATTTCAAAGATTTGGAGACAAATACATGTAGGTCCTAGACTAAACGATAATGCTTATCGAGCTGGTGCCTTAATGGTATTCTTATTGATAATTTTTTGTTTGGAAAAACACCAAAACAAGAATATTTGAACTAACACAGTTGTTTTTTTTTTTTTAAATAAATGTACTTGTCTTGCAACTGCAATGACAATAATGTACATACATGGCAATTTGAAGGCATTATTTGTTGCGGAAGTCTTAGCTCGATTATAAACGGCCCAGCGATTGGTTAACTACAAGCGATTGGACCAATCAAATTGCATGTAACATATTGTTTTACCTGATTCATGGCGGCCTGTTCGTCTCGCAAATTCATTGTTCTGGGATCGTTTTGAGCGGAATTATGAAAATTTTGACGAAAGATCAGGAGTCTTTAATCCTAGAATTTGACTCAAATGTCAAGAATAAATTCCGATTGGACTGGCTTGACAGAAAAGTCACTGTAAAGGTTAAAATTGGTTCCAAGTTCGACGAAGTTACAGAAGCTCTTGGACAATTTTTGAAGAAACCAGACGTAGCAGGCAAAGCTTATTGTGTGTATTGTAGTGACTTAATTAACTATGGCTCCCGTGGATGCGTGGCACTGACAGATCATGCAACAAAAGTGAAAAAACATGCCGACAAAATCGCCATTCGACGGAGCAATTATCCTTTGGGATCGGCATTTTTCAATCAAACTTCGTCAGCGGATACAACTAAAGACGTTACGCGCTGGGGTACTTTGGCTGAACCAAGCAACGAAATCTGCCCCACTGACGCCCCTCGCCGATAGACAGGTACACTCCGAGGTATATACTTTTT